TATATAGTAGTTCTTCATTTATTAAAATTGTAGTTATAGAAACTAAAAATAGAAAAATTTTATTTCTCAACATTTGACCATTTAGTTGTATTCTCCTTGATTAAATAGAGGAGCAAGCGGATCGCGTCGCAGACAACCGAATCGTGATAGAATTGGTGAACAGTGGAAGCTTTGATCGACTGGATTCGCATTGCAGGTTGTGCGGTTCGGCGAGACGGAGGTGGAAGAGTCCGTGAGCAAGGGCTGAAAATTAGCGACAGGACTGCAAGCAGAGGATTTCAGAGCAGGAGTTCGGTCTTGCGAGCAGCTTGGCCAGAGGGAAGAGGCGAAGATCGCGCAGAGAAGGGTTCGGGGAGTTCTCTGTTCAGAAGTTCACGAAGCAGGAGGACCTGAACAGTTTGGCGAGGAGCGACGGCTCTGGAGAGGAAGTTATTCTCGTGCGAGAGGCAGAGGACAAATTTCTGATTTGTTCCGCTGGACGCAGAAGAGTGCCTACGGGAAGGAGGCGCAAGCACAGAACAAGAAGTTTTCTTCGATGAACATGTGTGATCTCTGCTAGAAGGGATCTGAGCTCTTTATTCGGTTGGCGAAGGCAGTGGAGTTCACAGAGAGAAGGTAAGAAATTTGGTGAGAATTTCTCGGACAGCAAGGCGTTAACAGGTAGAATTCATTAGAAGAAATCCTAGCCACGGCAATGAGTTCCACCAAATTCGACATTGAGAAATTCAACGGGAAGAACGACTTCGGCCTATGGAGAGTATAGATGAGAGCTCTACTGGTTCAACAGGGTGTTGCAGAAGCCTTGCAAGGGTCGGCGACATTGCCGATAGACATGACCGAGAAGGAGAAGATCGACATGCTGGACAAGGCCCACAGTTTGATAATCCTAAGCTTGGGCGACAAAGTTTTGAGGGAGGTGTCGAGGGAGACAACGGCTCAAGCACTTTGGGCCAAACTCGAGGTACTCTACCTGACAAAGTCTCTAGCTAATAGGCTCTTTCTAAAGTAGCGCCTATACTCCTTCAAAATGCATGAAGATAAATCAATCTCAGAGCAGATCGACGAGTTCAACAAGATCATCGACGACCTCGAGAACATCGACGTCAAGATGGACGATGAGGACAAGGCACTGCAGTTGCTAAACTCTATTCCCAAGAGCTACGAGCATTTTAAGGATGTGATGCTCTATGGAAGGGTGTAGACTATTACTCTGGATGAGGTACAATCTCTGATTAGAGCCAAAGAACTTCAGAGGAAGCATGATAGGGACAAGGAAGTTAGCGGAGACAGTCTTATTGTCAGAGGAATATCAGACAAGAAAGATTCAAGAAATGGTCAGTACAGATCAAGTTCAAGCAAGAATGGCGGGAATCAGTCATCAAGGGGATCTTTCAAGTGCTATCATTGTCACAAGGACGGTAATTTCAAGAGGAACTGCCTAGACAGGAAGAATAAGTACCAAGAAGAGCCAGAAGAATCAGGAGAAGCAAGCATAGCCTCTGATGACTACGATTCTGCTGAGGCCCTGGTGATCACAGAGTCTGAATCCAGTAAGGAGTGGATCCTCGACTCAGGGTGTTCTTTTCACATGTGTCCTCACAAAGATTGGTTCGAGACACTGCAATAGGAAAATGCTGGGTTCGTTCTACTAGGAGACAATAAAGCTCAGAGGGTTGTTGGAAATAGATCAATCAGGATAAGGATGTTTGATGGAGTTGAATGAGTACTGAAAAATGTCTGGTACGTACCAGAGCTAGTACGTACCAGAGCTAAAAAAAATCTGATTTCTTTACGTTGGAGTTAAGCGGATGCTTGTTCAAGATAGAGAATGGCTGCATCAGAGTAACCAAAGGCCCTCGTGTCGTCATACAAGGAGTCAAGAAAAAGGGGTTGTACGCTCTTATTGGAAGAACTATGATTGCTAAGTTGATGTACCGTTTGGACTTAGCAAACTCAAGCAAGGGCTGAGGGCCCCTCAGGGGCCAGGTGGAGGGAATCTTTACTTCGAAGCTTTTCAATTAAGGGTCAAGGTGGAGAATTGTTATTTTGACACCCAATTATTGAACTAAGGTAAAAGGGAACTTTTATAATGTGGTACCGCTCACCTACCACATCTCACCTACCGCTCACCTACTGCTCACCTACCTCCCACCTACCACTCTCTTGCTTCTATAAATAGAGAGGGTGTGAGGCTTAGGAGAGCAAGGGAAGAGATCTTAAGCTACCACAAATGAAGAGAGAATAACTAGGGAGCTAGAGAGGAGGAGAGCATCTTGAGGTCTTGTATCAAGGTGTCACTTGAGAGGGTGGCCATAGAAGGAAGATGAGGACTCATCTCTATGTATAAGCTATGTATTCTCCATTTCTTTTGCCTTAGTGAACTATTTGATTGATTCCCTCCCCGTGGACGTAGATCCAGTTGGATTGAACTACGTAAACGATCTGTGTTTGTTTGTGTTCTTTGCATTTCATTTATATACCAGGAAGTACATATCTCACAACATTATTCTTTAAAGAATTGAACATGCTCTATTTTAAGAACTTTTATGAACCAAAAATAAGAAAGTTTGGATAATTGCAAGATCTAATCGTGGTTAATTTGATTTAGGTTAACCAACATCAGACATTATATTTGTCTAGACGTTATATTTGTCTGGAAGAACTTTCACCACTTCCCAACCCTCTACTAGAGCTATAATCGAGTTGAGTGATGTAAAAAATTGACTTAATCGAGTTAAGTGGTGTCAAAAATTGACTCGACTTGCTAATTTAATGCAAAATCAACTTGAAAAATCTGGTGGGGTGACACAAATAAATTTTTGTTTGAGCTTAGGTTAGGAATCTTGATCCAATTAAATTTTTGGGTCGACTCTCGGTTGACTTGCCAACCCAAAATTGGCTTGAAATCGACATGCGAACTCAAAATAAACCTGAAGTCAACCCGAATTTAACCCAAATTTGACACAAATAAATATTATGCCTTATATTAAACGAGCTACATGGGCCGGGTTTGGGTTAGAGGGTTGAAAGCGAGTTGGGTTCATGTTGGACTTTTTTATCTGTTTAATATTCAAGTCAAGTTTGAGTAAAGTAATTTTAGGTAGTATCAATTTTGGGCTAGATCCGAACTTGACCTACAAACCTAATATGACACCCCTAATTGAATCTAGTATAGCTGAGTTTGTCATGGATTGGAGTTGACATTGTCATATTATAAGTTGTTCATTTTCGGCTCTAACTTGAGTCAAGGTTTCACATATATGTTTATATTTTCTATATTTCATTTTTTTTAATAATTGTATTTAGTTTGTTGAGACGCATCATTTCGTTTTCTCAAGAGAGTCGAAGGAAGGGAACCAGTAGGGGGAGAGGAAGTGAAAGGTGGGTTAAGAAGCCTCAAAGGGGGGAGATGAAGCAGGAGAAGTCGGGAACACTAAAGGATACTTTCTTGTATGCAAGGAGCACATGAATAATATATCTATATTGATTGTTTGTATGTGCATGTTTGGCTATGATGAAACTAATTATTTATGGTACTAGCGTTGGGAAAACTAAGTACTAGTACATGTATATGAAAAAAATATATTGATATTGTAGTAATTTAATTGATATAATTTTTAAACGGTGCTTCTGTAATAGATGCTTCAGTAATAATTGTACATATATATAATGACATATATATGCTATTGATATAACAAAATTCATTGAATAATATCATATATGAAAGTTATCCAATATTTATATTGATTTATTAAAAGCATAACTGACATTAATATTATTTTTTCCCCTTATATGACTGTACCATATGAGTGCGAGCATTCATTAGTTTTATTTATCTCACTGTTGTTTTAGACTAACTTTTCAAATATATTTAAGTAACTTAAAAAATGAGTGATATAAAAAAAAATATTTATAGAAGACACACACGTAATGAATGAAATTTAATTTTAATGCTTTAATTTAATTTGATCAGTGACCCTTTTATTTGTTAATAACCAATTGAACAAATAAATATAGAAAATTTAATACTCACTGTCCGACCATCTATATCCAACTTCGTTAGTCCAAGCCCCAGGCCGGTTCATTACATTTGTATGATACTTGTTTATTTTAATTAGATGAGAGGATTTTGTATTAATAAACAAGTTAAAAAAATTGAATGCGTATCCGATTTTAATATAAAATTATTTATAAATATTTTATAAATATGAAAAATAAACAATCAAATAAATTTTGAAGAATAAAATGACGTATAAGTTGCAAGTAAATTTATTTTTACAATCAAATAATATAATAAGTATCCATAAACTATTTTACTAAAATATATAGCTAAGAAACAAATATTAAATTAACATGTCTATTAATATTAAATTATAATATAATAATAATAATAATAATTTTTTAATTAATTAATTTTTTTAAATAATCTATTATATAACTACATATCATTTAACAAATCATTGTTAAATATTATTTAATAAATTATTTGTTTGGGAACACAAACTAATGAGTTGAATCATGTTTATATTTCATTCATTTAATACACACATTTCTTTTTAAATATTAATAGTGTTTTGAGTTGTTTCATGATACATTTCAACTCGCATCTCAACGAGCGAATATTAGGGTGATATTTATATTTATGAATTGATAGTATTATGATGATATTGTGATAAATATTCCTCGAATATCATCTCACCATCACTAATCTCGATGACTTAGGGTCCGTTTGGGATCACTTATTTGGTGCGGTGACGTTTTGAAAACGCACCTGACTTGTTTGGGTAAACTGCGTTTTGGCAGCTTATGCGTTTTCAAAATGCCGAAGACAATTTTTTCACACCGCACCTATCTAGGTGTGGCAGATAGGCGCGGGGTAGCCACCACATCTAGCTTATCATGAGACTATTTTTAAACAATTTATTAGTAGATTATTCAATAACAATCATTTTCACTCAGCTAATCCGCAGTTAATACTTTTGTTCATGTCTTCCAAAGAATACTAATAAAACTACTCTCGAATACGATCGGAAAGAAACTCTCCAAACCCACTGTGCATTAGCTGCCACTGGCGATAGAAAAAGAAGAGACAGAGAAATGGCCATGGTGGTCAGAGCGGCGGGAGTGAGCAGACCCCCGTGTCTTCCCAAATCTGCTCTCAAACCGAAGCCTCGCAACACTCCATTTATGCTCTCTCCTTCGCCTGCTGCGCTCTCTCTTCTGGTCCTCTTCGCCCAGCCCCATACCTCCTTTGAAGCCAAGGCCTTCTCCTTGCCTAAAGAAGACATCGTTTCTTCTCTCACCAAGGTACTGTAACTCAATTCTCTTTCATAAATTTCTGAATTATTATCTGCTTGCTTCATTGGCTGATTCCTTAAAAAATATTTGTTGTTGCCATTATCGTTTCACTAGTGAGAAGACGCCACGCCCTATTTTGCAAATCATGAGCTTACTGCCTGTGCGTCAGTTCCCGTATCACATTTTGGTTTCATTTTTTTTTTTTTTGCGTATTTTAACATATTGGGAATCTCCCAGTTTTTGTTTCTTTTAGCATCATCATTGGCTTTATCAGAACTATTCGGGGATTCATAAACTTTATATTCGTAAGAGTGGTTTTTGTTTGTGTAAACATCCTATGGCTGAATAAGGCGTTATAGTTGGCTAAAAAACTTTGATTCTGTCGAAAATGGCTTAGTGAGTTTATTGCATACTTTATTGTATTGTTTACTGATAATTGAAGTTCTATCTTAAGTGTGGATCTATTAGGGAATGCATCATTTTTTTAAGTGCTCAACTTTGGTATTATTTTAATACAGTAATTGTTCTCTGACTAAACCGCTATTGTTTAAGGTGGAAGAGACAATTGATCAAGCAGCAGAAGTGGGCTCAAAAGCCTTGGAATTTTCCAGAGAAATATTTAAGGGAGTGATTGATGCTGTTAAGCCAGCAGTGGATGCAGCATTGCCGGTGCTTAAGAGTGCTGGAGAGGAAGCAGTGAAGATTACAGCTCCTATTGTTTCTGATGCTTCCAAGCAAGCAATAGAGGCTCTTGAAGGTGTTGGTGTTGATCCCAGTCCTGTACTCTCCGCTGTGAAGGTTCTTTCTGCAGAGTTCATTTTGTTTATAAATGTTTATCCTTTTCATTGACTAATATATGGATTCAAATATGTTAATTTCCTTGTTTTATCTCTTATTAGCTATTTTGTAGTTTTAATTTGGATAAATATCTTCTTTTAGAAGTTGTTCATGATTTTTTTTTGTGACACCCATCCAGGCGATACAACGTGAATGACTTCAATTTCTGGAAAATACCCTTTAAATGCTGAATTGCTAAATTCCAGATTTTTCCTGTTTGATCTTAACAAAACCTTAGACTTGAAGGAAAATCATATAAGATGGTGAAGAAACCTATAATTCTTTATGGTGCAAATGTTGGCATGGGAAGAGCATAAAATTAATTGTTGCTGAGATGAGAATGCTCTGGCGGATGAGTGGCTTTACACTTAGAGATAAAATGAGAAGCGGATATGTCCGTGAAAGGGGTGGAGTAGCTCCAGTGACAGAAAAGATTAGGAGAGTGACCTTAGATGGTTTGGTTTTGTTAAATGTTAACCATATGATGACACATAGAGATAAAATGAGAAGCGGATATGTCCGTGAAAGGGGTGGAGTAGCTCCAGTGACAGAAAAGATTAGAGAGAGTGACCTTAGATGGTTTGGTTTTGTTAAATGTTGACCATATGATGACCTTGACCTATCAAGGGAGTAGATGTTTAAAATTTAAATTATGTTATGAATTATAGAGGTAGACCTAAAAAGGCTAGGGTATGTTGTATAAAAATGATCTTAATTTATTAGAATTAAATGAAAATATGCCATTCAATAGGACACAATGGAGAAAAATGATTCATGTAGCCGACCAATTTAGTGGGACAAATGGTTGTTGTTGTTGTTGTAGTTGTTGACCTTGACAATACCTGTGCATACTATGAACCAAATACAAAATTATTTCTGTTTCCTAGGCTCGGTATTCTTGCCTACAAAAAATGGCTTTAATGATATGCAATTGCTTTATGTTTAGTCTCCATGGTAATTTTGATATTAGTGAGTTTAGTTTTTCTGGGTTGTGAAAAAGCTATTGTCTTTTTTTTTTGTTTTGGAAAATCTTTATAAATATCCTTTCCAATGTTATTCCCTTTCTGTGATGGCTCATAGCATCAAAATCGATATTTTGGCTATCAATATTAATTTTCCTCCATCTTGTCCAATTGATGATGTTGAATGACAATGTTTCGGGATGTGAACTTGAATTGAACGTCAAGGATTGCTAAATTATGTTAGAATTATCAATATTTTTACTCTTCCATTTTGTCCAGTTGAATGATGGTGCAAAACAATAATGGTTAGGGTTGTGTAATTTGATTTGAAGATTTTTTCCTGGAACTGAGCTTGGTTATTGCCAACAATTAGACTAATGAGCCTGGCTTGAATCAAATGAAGCTAGTTTGAAATCATATCTAATTGTATATAAATATGGAAGTATGGATGGATGGATGCATACTAGCATATATGGAAGTATGTATGGATGGATGAATGCATTCATATCTAGATGTAGAGGATGGATGGATGTTTGGATGTATTTATGAATGTTTCATAATGGTATGGATGGATCTATGTTATATGTGTGTTTGTATTTTTAACAAGGTACATAACTTTGAACAAAGCTTTTCCTAAATTATTTTCACTACTGAATCTACAAAGAGTTGTCGCCTCCTGAACAATACAGTCTAATATAATATATCAATCTATCAATTAAAAAAAAATATTAACATGCTTGTCTAGATACGAAATCATTCCATGTTATCTTGTCAGTCTTCATTATTAATCATTTATTGTTATAAAACTATCGTATTCTTTATCATTTATGAAGGATTATCTCTTATTGTTTATCGGTTATAGGGCACCAATTGTAATATCTGTCTTGACCATTCTATCGTCTCTTATATATTACCTTATCTCACATGAGTGGTATCATTTATTGATTGTGCACATATTTATGGCTCATTAATTCTTCCTTACTATTTTTTAAAAGTTCGTCAAATTACTCTCCTGCAAGGTATGTTTTTATTTGCTAAACTGTAGATATTTACATGATATTCATAGCCAAGTATAATATCATGCTGTCATCACCACCACCATCATCATCAGCGTTATTCAAAGTATTTAGGGTCTGCTTTATGAATCCTTTTTTTCACTTATTCTTGTTGAGTGATTTCTGAGGTATTAAACTTATCATTCAAGACTCATTTTGCAGAAAATTTGTACATGTAACAATTTGTCTACTCTTCTGTTCTAATCATTTGACTCTAATTTAATTAGCTCGTTTTGATGGTGGTTTTTTTAAAAAAAATTATTTATTGTATGTGTCTGAACAACCTACGGATATTTTGAATAATGTTAACTGCAATAGATGCCACTCAATTAGTCTTTTATTAAAATCATTATTTAATTTTCTTTTGTAGATTTGCTACACTTTCATCTTGACAATCTTATTTCTTTCGCGCTCTGTTAGATATTTTTTTTTATTACCCAGTATTTTGATCCATGCAACATCTTCTGCATAAGACAGCCTATGAAATTTACCTATTTGTCTCTATGAGTGTCTCTTCTTTGATGATGTATTTATGCCTTAATACACATTAAATTAATTCCCATAATATTTGATCATATGCCTATGTGAAGATTATTTATTTGCTGTACATGTGCTTCTCCTTTGATTTCTTAACACATACACAAAAGAACTGTTATAATGTATTTATCTTGTATAAAATTAAATTAGTTCTTTGAAATTATTTAATTTTTTTAAGTCCATGCTCAATTATTTTATAATATAGTTAATTGTATGGCTCATAAGCTTGAATTCTCTATAATTAGTACACTCTATAATTTTGTTTCTAAACGTTAGTACTAAAATGGTGTTCCATTCATTTGGTATCCTTTCTCTTTTTAAGTTCTATTGAATGGACGTGTTACTCAATATGTATCTTGATTGGAATTAAAGTCTTACGTATATGTATTTGCTAATTCTTACTCACTTTTTTGATAAATCTATCATCTCCAACCTTATAGTTTTTATTAATATCTTTAAAAAATAATTTATTCCTTAAAACGCTCATTCAATAATTTTCCCTAGTATTTTTTGTGGATTTCTGTATTTTTTTAAAGATTTATCCTTTATTTCTCAATTATTATGTTTGTAGTTCTTTACTTATATATTAATTGTATATTTGGAAGTTTAATTATCGGAATTATGTTTGCCCTAGAGTTTACTCTCCATATAATGGGAGGAATTGTAATTTAAAGATTAAGAAATAAGAGAATCTTCTCTGTCACATTTTTCTTCATGGTATCAGAGACCAAACTCTAATTTCAGCTGCTGTCCTACTTCCAGTTCGAATGCTTCAGCCGCTGGGCCGAGCGCTTCTGCCATTGGGTTCGAAAGTATCTGCAGCTACCTTTCCTTGGTTCGAACACCTGTCACTGCCCCTACCTGATTGTCTTAGGTTGGCGATCAGATTGTTCGAACGAATTTGCTGCTACCTTCCCTTGGTTCGAATGCCTCTATTGTGTTCGTCATTTAGTTGTCAGATCGGCTAGTCGAGTGTGAAGCCCTGCATCCACACATCTACAGCCCTTTCACCGACCTCTGATGCTGTCTTTGCGGCAGCCCTCACTTGTCGATCATCCACAACTGTCTTTTCTCCGCCGATTGCCCGCTGGCCTTTCGTTGAGTCTTTCCTGTAGTCGCTATTTTTTTCCTACATACCATTTGTCTAACTAGCATCTACTAGATTTTTTTATGCAATTTGTCTGACAAGCATATGCTAGATTTTTTTATGAAAAAACTTGCACAGGTTCTATGAAAAAGTATGGATCTTACGGAATGAATATGTCTTACTCTATCTCGGAGGTTAGTTTTGACTCAAAGGCTAGGAATTTTGTCCAACTAACCCTTACAATCTCTACTTTTATCACAAATCATAAACTCAATGACCATAACTTCCTTCAATGATTCCAATTTGTGTTTGTACCTTTGTGAAAAGGGAAGATAAAGCTCTTATTGGAGATGACAATTCATGAGCTCACTTATTCTAACCATCGCTCATTGCTATATGGTCATGCCTTGGCTGATTAATTCTATGATCATATATGTTAGAGAAATTTTTTTACTTTACAGGACATCGCATGAGATTTGGGAAGCAGCTCGTGGGACTTACTGGGTACAAAAAAACAATGCAAAATTGTTTGAGATTGAGACAAAACTACATGAGCTAAGTGTACTCAATACTTTAACACACTCTCTAGATACTGGTTACAGTTAGATTTATGAGCTAAGTGTACTCAATACGTTAACACACTCTCTAGATACTGGTTACAGTTAGATTTATATGATACATATGCATGGAAGTGTCCTTAAGATGTCATAATGTATAAATTAATTGTGGAGAAGAAAAGGATGATCAAGTTCTTATTTGGTCTAAATAAAAATTTAGATGAGGTCAGAGGAAGAATCATGGGGATGAAGACTCTCCCTACCACTAGTGAAGCCTTTGCTAAAGTTCAAAGAGTAGAAAGTAGAAAGAAGCTCATGATGGCAAAATGTGTGGATTTATCTAGCACTGAAAGTCTTCCTTCAACTCTTCTAATGAGTCAAAGATAAAGAAAAATCGTCTCTGGTTTGAACATTGCAAGAAACCTGATTACACAAAGGCAAGTGTTGGAAACTACATAGAAAACTTGTAGAATGGAAATTGAGGCAAGGGAGGAAAGTCCTTCACTGTAAGGGCTATGGGCTACCTCTTCTAAAGGGTCAGCCAAACCTAGTCCCTTCACTAAGGAACAAATAGAGGGGTTAAAGAAATTGTTTTCGAGCATAACCAAGGAGCCTATCAGCTTAATGATACATCAAGGTATAATGTCCACCTACTATCTCACTAATAATGGAAGATTTCGGCTTTGGATAATACATTCTGATGCTTCTGATCACATGAATGGGGGTATTTAGGCTCTTACCAACTACCAAAAGTTCACCCACT